ATATCCGGAGTTGTTGTCCATATACAATGAAGCCAAGACCTCATCGCCAGTGTAATATCCACTGCGGTTGACTTTGGCCGTAATGGATATGGAACCAGAAGTACAGGGTAAATGGCCGACTTGTGATGTCAGCTGCTGAGTTTGACTTGTCTTTGAATAAACAATAAAACCATCTAGTGATAAAATCATATAATAACAAAAAATGTAATAAAAAAGTGCATTGTTTTTCTCGAGGGGGTTTGCCCTGCTTACTGGTCAGTCTGAGTGGGGCATATCCACGAAGGGAACCCTGGAAGGCTTCACAAAAGTAGAAGGTTGCGTGCTGCAAGTGAAGTATGAGTGGGGATATCGTGCAATTGATATTCGATCACATGATTGATTACGATGCGTATATAGTACTCCCTTAAGAAATTTGTAACATCCCTTTWCAGACTTCTTGCTCTGCCCCTGGTTTTGAGAAATTTGATACCAAAATAAYTATTATCTTACTAGAAGATGTTCTTCGATTGAAACGAAGTCAATGATAGGAATGGTGACAATAGTAGTGTCGCTCACAATCTGGTTAGGTCTCTGCATCTTAGCCTCGATCGTGTACCGTATGTAGCCTCGTTTTCCTGAATGAGAACCAGGTAGGTCAGCGTCTACTGGAATGTTAAAGGCGAATGGGAAAGAGTAGTTTCCGGGACTCAAAACACAACCCATGTTTCGAACCTGAACTAAAAAAAGAACGAAAAGAAATGAAATTGTATAAATATACAACTTTTCTTTGTAGATACCAATCGATGAAGGGGGTGATGGTGATATGTAGTGGTTCATGAACAAACGGCGCAGAATGGATGAATTCTAATTATCAAAGGAAATGAATGGCTAAAGAAAAAAAAATAAAGAACCAAAAACTAATAACTGCAAAATTGGTTTATTATTTGTACTAACTAAATATTTGAGGACAAATGATTGATGTAACTGTGCCATGTCATGTATATATTTCATAGAGTGTATAGTATGGCAAATCGGCTCCGCTCTTCCATGACTTATTTATTTCTATTCATTTCAGTTCTCATTCTTGTTAAGTGTCGTTTAAATGAGCCATCATTTTAAAAGTTGATGTAAACACTGTTTAATCACATCACATTCAACAAGACCGTTTTTTTTTTCTACTGCGCTTTTACTTACTTACCTTCGTCTAGCAAGTAAATTGTATCGCTGTAATACTCTTCTTTCCCAACATATATACTTTTCCCTCGAGAACATTCAACTTTTCCTTTCCCAGAAAAACAAACCATCAAACTCGTCAGTTTGATTTGGGAGTTTAGTACGAGTTTTACCTCGCCAGAAATGGTATCACCATTAGTATAGATCATGTCTTTAGGTAAAAGATCTATCRTGAAGCTTTTTACCGCCATTGTTTTAMAAAGGTCGGAGCGRTGGGTGTTTTATGCMCCCTTTTAGATTCTGTTTTARATTAGATTTTGTAGTGACTCATCTATAACTTGGCGCTCATAAAGGGATGAATAGTTTAACTTCAAAGCATCTGTTTCATTTGGATTGCAAATTTTTTCCATTCATGATTTTAACTCATTCTCAAAGGTGTCCACCGAATATGGTCTAGGCCCTATAACCACATTTTGAAGGAGACAGTTTCAATGTATTTGTGGTGGCRTRAATCAGATTTCTTTTGTTATAGGACGTGTATCCATCGCCGCGATAATGAAGTCATAAACCGCTAGATAGTTTTCCTTTCTGTTTCAACCACTTTTATCTATTTTTCATACTCTCCCAAAATCTGGGGTACCTGTGGTAAACTTCCAGTTCTCTCTCTGTAACGTCGAACACAGGGATCCCATAACTAACAAGCGACGAATGACTTCACTTTCGCCTTTTGCTCTAAAAATTGCTATTTTTCTCTTGCTTTTGGCAGTTATCTTTCAAATAATAACAGATAATGGAAAGCTAAGTGTCACAGAATTTCTATGGAGAGGGAAAAGTGGTAAGAATTTGTCGTTTTGATTGATAAATTTTGAATTTTRTAGGSCTGCAAGAAAAAGCGGGAAAACGCTCGTGTATTTGTGGCTGGAAAAATTCGTTTTCTCCTTCATTTAAGTAGCTTTGATTGATTTATCAACGAAACATGTTCGGTTAATCACGACAGGTCCACAAACTTATGGACTTGCATAAAAACAATGCAAGATAGCATGCGGTCACGTGACTTCTTTATATTTCAATAGCCGACTTGCGAATTACGCATCAATAGTCACATACATAAAGGAATCAAGACGAGGCGCCGTGCTAAAGACAATAGATTTTTCACAAAAAAGCATGGCGCCTCGTCTTGATTCCTTTGTATGTGACTATTGATGCGTAATTCGCAAGTCGGCTATTTGCATTAATTATTTTTTTGTCATTAAAATGTCAGTGCAATACAATGTTCAGAGTTTTTGTATGTTTTATTTATCATAGTAAACAGCACCAAAAAGCTTTCCTATGATGTGGTCATTGGAGTTCTTTCAGCCAGAAATCATTTTGAGAAAAGGCAGGCCTTAAGAGATACATGGGTTGGTCATATCTACCAAGATACAGAATTAAACAAAAAGTGAGAATCACTTATTACATAACCTACAAACAGGATTCAATTTGACTTTATTTATATTCTGTTATTAGGGTGTTAGTTAAGTTCATAGTCGGGGATAAGGCTTGTGCTGTTCCACCCCAAGACAGACTTGATCAGTATTCTTGTGAAAAGAATGGTGTTGTTAATCCAGGTAATTTGTTTTGTTGTTGTAAGTTGTACTTCAAAAGCACAGCGGTTGGCCAAGTGGTCTTGATATTGCTCCTTCAATGTTATTATCTGAGTTCAGTTGCCCCTATAACTCTTTGAAAATAGTAAATTAGTGTGTTTATTCACTTTCCATTCGCTCATTTTTGCATCCATTTATTCAATTGTTTCTTTATTCATATGTTAAATTATAAAATCATACATTTTTTTTCTCTCATCCATTGTTTCATTCCTTTAAGACACCTAATCATATCTTCTAAGTCATTTCTTTCATTTGGTCATTTCTCTCATTTATTCTTCCTTCCATCCCATCTTTCTTTCATTAGTGCTATATCCACTCATTTCTTTCTGCATCTCTCAGGATATCTGTCCTCCCAACCACTCTTCAAATCATGCTGTCTTCAATTATTCTTTTGTCCATTCAATCCCATTTTAGTTCTAAATGAAGACATCATTGCTTACAAAGTCCCAATTGGAACCATGGGTGACTATGTGCATTCTGGCCCTGTTGGCATGGACTTTAAGGTACACATCAAGAATATCATTAATCRAAGTCATTCAGGCAATAGTCTCCTTTACGGTTACCTGCACGATCTTGAAAGGTAGCTGTGCCTTGACAYTGAAGTGAGACAACTGTTGAGCGTGTAATGATAGATACCTGTGAATAATTGCCTGTAGGTGTGAAAGAAGGTTTCTATCATAATTGCACTCTCAACAGTTGTCTTGTTTCGATTCCAAGGGCCAGCTATCTTTCAAGATGGCGCAGGGAACCATAGAAATTTATATTTCTATGTTTCTTRATCTTTCTTGACCAGGTGAATTTCCCAATTGTTGTCAAGCAGCTTGGAGTGTTTGATAGTGACTCCAATGGATTAGAAACTGAATTGGTTGTGAGACTTTATGATAAAGCCACCGAGGTAATTCTTAATAATATACCTATAATATTACAAAGAAATTAAAAATAGTGTGGTTTTCATTTACCGTAAAATGCACTTTCATGTTTTAAAAATCATTACTCATTATTTAGAAGTTATTTCATTTTCATTATTACACTGTGACTACTGCACTTTGTTTCTTCAACTTAAACTTTAACCTGTTCAAGTTCTTATACAACCAATGTATTTACTGCAGTATGAACAATGATCTTGATTTGATGTTGATTATTGTTCATGATTTGGTTTACAGACTGAGGTTGTAAATGCTACTTTTAATTCAACCAGCCCTGGTACTCTAAAAGGGGGCAGTAGATTCAAGCCAGTTGAGGAGTACATACTGCCAAAGGTACCAGTAATCCATGATAATGAAGTTTATATATAATTATGTATTGCTTGTACTTGTCATTTATTGACAATTCAGCATAAAATCCTGGGTCTGATCAGTCAGTGCTATGAACAGCAAAATCTATGTAAAACAAACAAACAAGCAAACAAACAAACGAAAAAAAACCCAGCAACAACAACAAAAAAACATAAGCTTCAATTGTAGCATCCTCCCTCCCCCTGGTATATTATAGGGAATGTTGATYTCAGACCTTGATTATATGATTCCATATCAACACTATAAACAGTTCAGGGGGGAGAAGGCACATGTAAAACACATGTCTTTCTCATTTTAAATTTTGAAATTTTGAAATTCAGGACAAAGCATACTGCAAAGTACTCTATATCTTAGTCTAGCTCACTTGGACAATATGTTAAAAGATGTAATGTTATGTATAGGGATTTRAAGCCTCAATTGTGGCAGAGAATTTCAACCAACAAGATCCWTGTAATAACAAAGCCATGGAGCATGGCACCACTGATAATGGTGGAGGATTAATAAGTTTTACTAAGGTATTAAAAAAATGATTGTAGTTCTAAAGGTATTTTAAATTCTACAATGTTTTGTTGTTACATTTGAATATGATGTTTGCTAGRAAATATCCAGCGATGTCATTTTGTGAAACATTAGCATGATGAGAGATAGTAGTCCTTGCACTTTTTCATGTACGCTAAAACAGTTTTCCTAAGCTGATTGATTGCTTGAATGGTTGAATGATTCATTGATTCATTGAATGGTTGATTTATGTGTTTTTGTAGGTCAGTAGGTTTGGCATGACTCAAGGAATGTTTCCTGATAACGAAGAATCTGCTCCTGGAGAGTCAAATCAGTACGCTGCWGGGACATTCATATACCATGCTTACGGTAAATAGCTATGCAATTATGTTTGTATCCTAAAGACACTGCATCCTCTACCTTTAAAGGCCCTATTATCTGATATAATATTTATCTCACCACAATCTCATCCTTCAATATATGAATTTTTACCACTACCATTGTCAATCAATGTTATCATAATATAACTACTACCTCATCATTATCGTAACCATCTTGACTCTTTCTGTGATTGTCTCAAGTGAATTTGTCATCATCAATTCAATTTGAATTTCTTTTTTTTATTTACACCAATTTGATCAACATAATTACAAGAGTATTAGATAAAAAAAGAAAAATTTACAATTTAGTGATTTGAATTATCATCAAGCAGAAATCTATGGAAATTTGTTTTTATAATCATATTATCATGTTTCTAGTGTCCAAAGATGGTGAGTTTTCTCCAGAAGGTCAGGAGAAGAAAGTACACGAGGCTAACTTGAGAGATAAGGAATGGACCACATTGATAGCAGATGAAGCTGTTAAACTAGATGATGAAATTGCTAAACATAATGATATTTTGTTGGTCAATGAAGTGGAAGTTTATAGAAATTTGCCCAAGAAAATGATTCAGTTTTACACATGGTAAGATAAAACTAAATGAGTATTAGTGAAAACTTAGTACTATATATCAACAACAACATTAAGTTAACAAACTTTTCAGGGTGAGCAGTAATGTGGATTTTAACTTCACTCTCAAGACGGATGATGACTGTTTTGTCAACATCAACAGTATCCTGAAGGTATCAGCGAGTCTTTCAATTAACTTTGAACAATTTAATTAATCACACATTAAACTAGGATGAAAGTTTGCTTGAGGTACATAACATATAATGTGAGTTCTTTCCAGGAACTTGTTCGCTACAAACTTCACAACAAATCAAAAGTTTGGTGGAGTGGGTAAGATTGAATACAATTCCTTATTTAGTATTATTATTATCTAGTATTTACTGTAATTTACTGTATTTGTCTCTTTTTATGACATCAGCTTTCGACAGGAATGGCCAGTTGAACGGTTTGGCAAATGGCGTGAACCAGATTACACTGCATCTGTGTACCCAGCATTTTCATGCGGTGATGGAAATATGATGTCTGCTGACCTTGTGAGATGGCTGGCTCGCAATGCACAAGACTTGAAACCATATCAAGTGAGTGATATTGATAAATAATTAAAATAGTTTGATTACTATTAAAAGATGATTTGGATAATATTCTTTCACTATGATTTATTGTACCAGGGTGAAGATGTGTCGCTGGGCATCTGGTTGGCTGCAGTTGGGCCACTCTTGGTCAAGGTATGTTAAAACAATTTACAATGGATATATCATGCATATACATGGCATAAATTACTGTTGATCAATGCATAAATTGATATTCTCTATTGAATAAATTAATGTTAATCAATGCATAAATTAATATTCTTTATTGAATAAATTAATGTTTATCGATGCATAAATTAATTTTCTTTATTGAATAAATTAATGTTAATCRATGCATAAATTATGTTAATCGATGCATAAATTAATATTYTTTATTGAATAAATTAATRTTGATTAWTGCATAAATAAATGGTGATTACAGATAAAAATTCAGCACACTTATCACTGTATATCCATCATATACTTCTAGGATTATAGATGGACTTGTTCACTAGATTGTTCAAGGGACATGTTTACGTTACCTGAAAACGACCCAGACGAGCTTAGGGACATGTGGTCAAACCTGGGGCGCTGTGGAGATCCATGCCGATGTTCTTAAAGGTACATGAGTTAAATGGCTAGGGTTATTCCATATACWGTCAACTCTTGCTATTACGGACACCCTCGGGACCGTAATTTAAGAGTCTGTAGTAACGAGAGTTACTTTCAGTCATTTCTTTGTATTTTTATGTAGATACAACAATTTGTGACGATACTGACAGCTCTGTCTCCTTCTCTCCRACTGTCGCATCGTTCRYAGGATTTGGTAGGACTCCTAAACCGAACCCAAGACGCACCAATTGACTTGGTCTTTGGTCAGCAGTTGATTTATTTTGGACATGCTTGTTTCTCTCCTGYATYAACTGGGATTCAAGAGCTGCTACTTTGTTGACAAGTCATTCGATCTCACCCTGCGATAAACGAAATAAATGAGCACTACAGAGGTCTCACTGTGAGTGTTAGGGAATGGAGAGAGAGACTTTCATCATCCCAAAACTTGTCCCAGCCACGTTTGGTACACAACTTATCCCTAAAAAAATGCAGATATCTATCATTATGGCACATAAAGCAATGAGATAATTATATAATGACTGTAGGAGGAAGTATGTACTGTAACGCATGTATATAGTTGACTCTCTTTGAACGACCACTCTCGTAAGGGACCATCTCCTGTAAGCGACCACCTTTTATATTTCCCGTTATAATTGTTTCCCATGTAAACTCCATAACAAACTCTCTCGTAAGCGACCATCTCTCGTAAACAACCACTTTTTCCTGATCACGAGATGGTTGCTTAGGAGAGAGTTGACTRTACTTCGTCAGCAGCCAAATACGTCCATAATGACCCATTATCTAAATGCTTGCATTGTAGCAATGGTACATGTTGTCAATTTTATCTTATGTTTCCATTACAACCATCTACAAAAAACTCCTTCCATAGTATCACTTATGTCTTATGTGTTTCCATAGCAACAGTAGTATATGTGTCATATTATTGCAATAGTTATACCATGTGTATCCATAGTAACAGTTGCTAGGGATTCATACTTTCTTTTCAAATGCTCAAATGCATGATAAAAAAAAGAAACAAATCAACTAAACTTTGCTTATAAGCTTATATTGGTGTGAATATTTACCATGTTGGGTTGTGGTTTTCTCTCTCCCTCCAAAGCCTGTTACATTTTGCAATGCTGCAGAGTGTCTTTGCAGATAAATACGAAAAAATTCTTTCTGTCAATTCTTTGGGTATGAGGCAAAATCCACAGAAAGCAGAGGCTTTAGTTAAGAGTACAGTTGAAAAAAAAAACTGCATCAGTGTCAGTTGAATATTCTAAAGTCGGGATCGCCTGATCCTAAATAATTTCACAGTTGGACTGCCTGTGTAGAGATGCATTTCCGACAAACTTTTCAAGAGTTCATTTTGTTGTCCCGCGTAGTAAGATGCGAGTAAACTTCTCAGAAAAACCCGTTATTTTCTAAACCTCAGCTTATTTTTTTTATGTTATTGTAAATTGCTCATTGTACAAATAAAATAAATAACATTAAGAAATCCTCGCTTTTATGAACTTTCGCGCCGGTCACTTCTTGTGCTAGAAAACGTGCTTAGAAACGTTAATTTGATTGGTCAAGAGAATATAAAATTGCTAAATTCTGGTCAGCGGCGTCATTCGGTTGCGAAGAAGCAGCTTTGACAAGAGTGATGTAAACAACTTCAAAAAGTATTCGTATTTTGGACTTTACCGATGAAAACACAGTAAAACTGACCCGTGATACGTTGAAGAAGATATCCTTTATAATTTTTCCTGAAAAGTTGGTCAAAATCACTAGCATTTATCAATTTTTT